GTTCTGAATGCGTTCTATGAGACCACTCGTGACTATGTTACCAAAAACGAATGGGGGCAAGCCCATCTTATATTTTTTTCTGCAGATTCGGGGGTTAGCCCGACTTTTTTTTTTATATATTTGTGATCAATGTGAATGTAGCTGCAATCGAGTAAGTATTTCTAATTGTTCTAGTAGGCCTATTTATTTCTTCATAATAGACTTATATTATAATTTGCGCAATTGATTTTTTGTTATTTTTGTTCGCCATTATATTTTTACGTCATTGTAATTATCATTGTTATTTATTCATATTACTATTTTTTCTTTAGTTTCACCATAAAGCGCCGATACTTGTCATAAGTATGATGTGATGTAGAGCTATAATACTGGGACATGAGCCCCCGAGTTGTTCAACATGGCGGTCAGGCCTATTATTGTTAATTGTGATCACCCAGTATCAGATATGTATAGCGATAATTAGTGAATGTTACGATAATCTACGATAATCTATGTTTATGATTAACTTGAACTCGTCAAGAAGTTACATGTATTTTACTGTTAGATGAAATGGTTCTAAAAGTAAAGCTAACTGAACTTAAATTTTTTTCTATTCTGATTTTATCTAGTGTAGTCTTCTATGTGCAAATATTTTATTTATGAACAAGCTTGTCATTTTGTGTTTCTACTTTTTATAAGCCAAAAATTATTTTAAAAATAATAAATTTACTTATGCACCGCCGTGAAAGATGTTATTATTATTATTATTATTATTATTATTATTATTATTATTATTATTATTTACACCATAAAATATATTTTTTTACTTTACGTATAGGGGTCTACCTTAATTTGCATGTGTAATATACCAATTATATTATCCTGTGGCGTATACAAAATCATACACATGTATGCACCAATATTGGAAAAAAACTGAATTTCAATCGAACTAAATAAAAAAAAATGAAATATAGACATCATAACTTAAATTGAAATACTCTATGTTACGTAGAAAGTACAAATATAAATGAATTAATTGTATGAAATGGGATATGTTATGCTGCCGCTAAGTTCAAAGTTATCCTGAACGCATTTGAAAGTTTCCCCAGTCATATTTTCTCTGTCTACATATTCTGCAAAGCTACGAATCTTTCCACATTTAGAACTTTAAAACTATAAAACACCTTAAATACAGCTCCCTGATGCTGAAAAATCCTTCTGAAATGCACAGCAAGTATAAACTATGCTTACCAGCAAAGTCACCGTATTTTAATTATGCACAACAGGTAATACGGATGTAAGTGAAATGTGTAACTAGCAAAAGGTTTCAGGGCCCATGAAAGTTCAAGTTCACACTTTGAAAATGCCAGAATGAGAAAAAATGAAAATTAAAAAAAAAAAAAAAAATGCATAAATTCAAGAAAAAATGATAATCCAATCAAGCTGGTTTTCCAATAAGAGCTGTACATATCGCAATCCTAAGAATCATTCTTATAAGTTACAAAATAATTAGAAACACAGTTTTCTTTTTATAATGTTTGTGGTGGCAGTGCACAAGGAAGGTTTTTTGTCAAATTTGATGCAATATTACATATGATTAACAGCATAATCACCTTTAATTATCTACTATACATAACGTGAACACCGAGAAAATTTGATTGCCATTCGGCTTCATGCCAGCGAGAGGTCTGAGCCTCACACCTAAAATGCCAATAAGTGAAAAATGAAAAAAATTCATGAAGAACTGCATTGCTTCAAGAAGAGAATGTAATCAGACTTTTCCAAGCTGCACTTCATGGTCAGTCCTATGAATCTTTTCAGTAAGTTTGAGAATCATGAGAAACAAGGTTTTCCTTTAATGTACATTGCATGTGGCGGCAGTGCCCAAAATAGGTTTTTCTTCAATTTTGGTTCAATATTACATAATGCTAATCACCATCAATCTTTTATTATGCACTTCAGATAGCATGGATATTTAGAGAAATTTAGAAACATTTAATGTGACTAGCAAAGATCTTCAGGCCCATGGAACTTCAAAGTCACACCTTGAAAATACCAAAATGTAAACAATAGATAACTGTACTGAAATGAATTTCTTTCCATTTTCAAAACTTTTTTATATAAATTTACTATGATTTTTTAAATGATCAACTAACGATATTGTTGAGATGGGAAAAATATCAACAGAATAATTTTAAATGGCCAATTCGCTCCATTCTGCGATTCTGAACATAGTGAAGGATTGAATCTGACAAACTGCAATTATATTATTTTATTTCCATTTTTGACACTTTATTACACAATATACAATAGCAGATTTACCATCATTTTACATAATCAACGAACAATATTCTTATGACGCAGAAAATGTCAAAAGAACATTTTTTCATGTATAATTAGTTCAACAATGAGGCTGTTAACCTGCTTAAGTACTGAATCTAAGGAAAAACAATTTATATACAAAAAAGGCATAGCTTCATCAAAACTAAACCGTTCAAGAAAATTTTCGAACCTGATCTGTATACTAGTCCTATGAATAAATCCTACAAGTTTTAAAGCAAATTATGGCGGGGTTTACATGTTATCTGTAAACGGTAGATAAAAGGTGCTTTAAAAAGCGAAAAACAGCATAACATTTGGAAAAATGGTCCAATCAAGCTGATTTTCGAACTCAACCTGTATTTTAGTAAGATTGATGGCTACTGAAAGTTTAAGTTTCAAGACAATTGGTCTATCGTTTTTATTGAAATGCATTATCATTGTTGCATATATGCTGAAAAAAAAGCGAAAAACAGCATAACGTTTGAATAAATTGACCGATCATGCTGAATTTCGAACTCGACCTGTATTTGATGAATGTTCATCAGTTCCGTAAATTTGAAGACAAAAAGTAAAACTGAAAGTGCACAGCAACGGGGACGGCGGCGACGGCAGACAGCGACGCAGGTGACGGCCATATGAACAGAAACATCTGTGTCTGTACATAAAAAGAACATTTAGAACTAAACCATTAAATTTAAAATTGAATATAAACCGAAAAGAATTAAAGTGAAGTAAGTGTTGAGTAATAATACGTGAGTTGGAGAAAATTGCTTTTTACTACGAGAAAAATTCGTTCTGTCGGGCAAATTCCGTGTAAAATTCCTTAAAATTTGTCAGAAATTGCCACTGAACATGTGCCCTGATCTATGAATTACGTTCATACAAGCACATCCACAAAATATGGGATTTTCCGCGTTGTGGCAGCCCTTTGACTTTGCCAAAATGCAAATAAATAACGGCGACCGACCTGAGCAGAAATTTTCAGTTTAAGTCCAAGGTGATGACAAATTTAAAACTTTACCACCTGTCATTTTTTTTATTGTAAAGGTGCATATAAAGGTGTGCAAAATATTCCA